TCCCTCTTTCCAATTTCACCTGATGAACACAAAACCATATTAACATTTGCTTCCCATCATCTTCTCTCTACTTCTTCAATTGATGATCATTTTCTACATAATCACCTCTTAAATTACTTACACGAACTAAAAACAGATATTATTAAACCTATGCAAGCCAAATAACGTATTGTCTCTCATACTGAAAACAACGAAAGAATTCTAGATTTCATCAAGCAAAGGAACGAAAACTTCAAAGATTCTCCCACAAAAATGATAGACTCATGTCTAGAAAGAAATAGGAAAGCAATTATTCTTGATAAAGTTATGGTAAATGCAAACTCGCCATCACAATATCTCGCACTAGTCCCTGATAATATTAAAGCCCATACAGCAACGCATTTCCAAACTATTGCCGGCTCTACAAACAGAATTGTCACAGACCAACACTCGCATGATTTTAACCCAAATTGGAATGAATAGCAACATTTCTACAAACTAGCCGATACTATTAGCGATGATTATTACAAAGGAATCATGGATATCCCTACATACAATGAATGGCTGTCTATTCTTAAATATCTGCCTGATCATAAAGCTCCTGGCCCTTCTCAAATACCAAATGAAATGTTAAAAAAACTCGGCCCAAAAATGAATAAATTTTTATATACTATCATCTGTACCATCCTTACAATGGAATTTAGCATATATGTACCCGATTTCAAAACCTAAGGCATGGAATTGCAATTTAGATAATATACGACCTATTACCCTCCTGGACACAGTTAGAAAAGCATTTATCAAAATTTTAAATCAGAGACTACAGGACATATTCATCAAACACAATATAATCAAAGGCCTTAATTTTGCAGGTTACCACATCAATCAACGATGGAACCATTACATATTATTAATAACATCCTAGAATTCAACTGTTTAAATAATAAAATGAACAAATCCAACCGTTCGAATTTATATATGCTTTTTCAAGATATGTCAAAAGCATATGATAGAGTTGATATCTTTATGTTACGAAAAGCACTGAAATGTTTAAAAGTCCTCCTAATGTTCACTAATATTGTTACCAATCTTTTTTTAAACCGGAAAAACTCCATGTTCACAGCTTATGGAAACACTGATTCTTATGATGTCATTGTTGGAATCAATCAAGGAGAGGTTATCTCCCCTCTACTCTGGGTAATTTACTATGATCCCTTTCTATCAAGAATTAAGAACTCTTTATTAGGATATAAAATGTCAGTATCATGGAAACCAGATATCACCAAAATAGAGACCTCAGAAATCTCTGCTAATATTCCTAATTCAACATATATGGACGACACAATTTGGGTCACTGATAACCTAATAAATTTAACTGCTATCTTTGATATTGCTCAATCCTTCTTCGATCTTAACTCGATGAAAGTTAATCATGATAAGTCCTTTATCTTAACAACCGAGGCAACCGAAGTAAATATTTCAATCTTCAGTAACTTCCTGAACCGTCCTATCTCCTTTCCAACAAAAAAACCATCAGAATCAACTAGATATTTAGGTGTCTGGATCTCAGCAAAATATAACAAATCCTTTATTAAACAACAAATTCAAAATGAAATCGCAGAGTTCATTTTAAAACTAAAATATAAACCACTTACAGACAAACAGTTGAAATATATTTTTAATATAGTTTTAATACCCAGGATCAAATATCGGTCACAACTAGTTGTTTTATCACCCAAAGAATGTAATGCTCTTTTCATTAAAGTTAGGATTTTTCTCAAACACAAACTCAAATTTCGAAAGTCAACACCTAACAGTATGTTAACCAGCAAATTGACAAACGTTTTCAACGATTTTGCAGCCAACATGATACATGCCAAACTACAACATTTTGCCAATATGATAAATGGTGATTCGTCCTTATCACTCCTCACGAAGACAACGGAGATTAGACTTAAACAATTCAACAATTCTTTTGGCTTCACGATAACCCTCTGATTTGTTGGCCTTTTTCACAAAACAAATTTCGTCATGACAACTTCCTTGGCAATATAATTTCTTTTTATTTACAATCGAATTTGACATTCTCAATCACGTCGGCAAACAATTCTAAATTCTGTATCAAAGAGGGTAAGACTCCACTTCAAAACGTCATTCCAAAAAAAAAATAGATTAATTCGTTATGACACAAATCAATACTATTTCTTGACCAGCTAATTTGTGAGGGTAATTTTCTTATAAATTTTCAGAACATTAGCACTCATATCAATAACGACCATCACACAGTCAAAGGCAGTTACCCAGATTGGTTCTCTCATTTGGAAAATACATATTGTTAAACCCAGTGCAGTCGAATAGAATAAAAGATCAATACATTATTAGACCATTTGTTCATGCTGGCCTTAAAACGTCATCTCCTATGGATTCTGCTAAGGTATCAGAGTGGGTTGCTTTATGGACTCCTCCTGAAACAAACTTTTATAATCTACCTTATCCTGGACAGATAATCGTTGGAAAATCTTTTAAGTCTCCACTTTTTCCAGACAAAATCTTATTTCAACACTTTGTCCCGTACCATATATCAACTGATCCACGGTCCCCATCAAAAAAACAAAACATGTTTGTAGCATGTACTGGTTGTACTTTTAACAAT